CAGGCTTGAACACTCGGCACGAATATGATTTCAACTGTGGCAGATCTGAAACCCAGTTTTGCCATTTCTGCAGGTCTCTGCTATTGAGTTTGTCATCCCAACCCAGTTCCACGGTGGCACAAGTCTTGTAGAATTATTTTACCAGGTAGGATAAATGGTGCAGCAAGTCCGAGTGGATCGTAAATTGAACTGATAACAGATAAAATACCTCTACGAGTAGAAGGTCGATTCTGAATATCGATGTTGAATCCTAGTACATCAGATTCCACTGCCCAGTATACACCAAGTGCCCGCTGTGTCGGAAGATCATCACAACCTAATTGTAACTGCTTTACATCTTTGGCTCGTTTTTCCACAGGGACAGTTTCCAACACAGTATAACTATTACTGATCCACTTCGTTAAATTGAACCCACCAAGCTGACAAATACTGATGAGATTCTGCACCAGTGATATTGCTTCTGTCTCAGTACGGCAAGACTTGAGGCAGTCATCTACATAAAAATTATTCACCAGTACATCACTAACTTCTGGTTTAAACCTATCACTGTTGTCCTCAGCTGTCTTGCGCAGTGCTGTATTAGAACAACTTGGCGATGATACAGCACCAAACAGATGAGCAGTCATTCTGTATACTTCTGGCTGGTTGTCTAGATTGCCATTTGGCCACCAGTAAAAACGTAGACAATCCATGTCCCTTTCTGGAATTTTCACTTGATGGAACATGGCCTCCACATCTGCCATTAACGCGACTGGTTCCTGTCTGAAACGTAATAGTACACCAACAAGACTATTTGTTAAATCGGGACCTTGTAATAAAAGGTCATTTAGGGATACACCGGAATACTTAGCCGAACAATCAAAAACAACTCAAATCTTGTCTGGCTTCTTTGGGTGGTACACTCCGTGATGTGGTATATACCACACTCTACCATCATCTCGATCTAGCATCACTTCCGGGACATGCACAGCATACTTCTTGTTGATTAGGTCCACCATACCGTTAAAGTCCTAATATAAACCGCATACGTAATAGTAACCGCACCCCCAATTCCGGCTTCGGGGTTAAAGAGTTCTTAACAAAAATTGAAAACTTGAAAAGTACCTATTACTAACCGCACCCCCAATTCAACAAGACCGTGACTGTCTTCATTGTTTCAACCAGCTGTTCCAAAACGGCATTGTTCCTAATTCTATTCTTTGTTTCGACAACATGCCTAAAAATATTCACACCTATTTATTGTTCAGCGGTGATAAGATGTCAGACAGGCAATGAAACTGCTTTTGTTCTGGCGGCGACCTCTGTCAATACTCTTTCTGAATACGTCTGTGTTTCGTAAGTTTTAGACAATGAGCTTTTATCACCGTAAA